GGACACCGCAAGTCCGCTCCCGATGGCCGGGCTAGCCCCGAGACGTGACAACAGCGCAGGGAGATCGGCCAGTGGCTACAGCCACCCGAGAAAGCAACTGCGGGTTTTGTACACAATAAACCCTTGTCCGAGTGGATTCCAAAGTCACGCCCTTCTTATTGTGTTCTTCCTTGGCTAATCCAGCGTGCGTAACTAGACGGTGTTACCACAAAGAAGTCACCGTTACAACATTTCTAACCAAAAAAGAACGCTGGCTATAAAATCCGGATCGTTTATGGCTGGCTGCTTACAAACAATAAACTAGAAATGGCCATTCCACTCTTTGTTGGTAATTTAATTTAAAGTATAAATTCCTTTGCCCTATTCGATAGTGGCATTTCAGGCAGAGTGCTTGTAGGCTTCTTTGTGACCTGTGCTTGGTTCAAGAAAATAGCTGATTTAGGTTCCCCGCAGAAAGTGAGCTGTTTTTACTTTAATAGGGCGCTTTGTTTACATTTATAACAGTTGTCGGCACCCGATCCCTTTTCGAATGTCCAGTTATGTTTGTGGCAACTACTATTTTGAATTTTTCAAGGACTTTTCGATTCTTGTACTTACTCGTCCTCTTTGGTCCATCTTAGAAATACCTCTGCGCGGAGTTTGTTTTCTCCACTATCCTGATGCATGCAGCAATCGGTGCTGTGGCCCTGCTGGTCGTCCTCGGAGTCATCATCTATCAGGAGCACGAACTGGCCCAGTTTGCCAAACGCCTTGCCTTAGGTGGACGTTTCGCCGGTTCCGACCGGTAGAACGACTTGTTCTACCTCCAGGCCTATTTTAGTAGCTTCTTTTTAAGCTTTATGGCTGTGTTTCGGTGCACATAAGCTCAGTCCTATTGTCTTACTTTTAGTTCCCTTTGGGCTATTGACGCTTATTTATTTTTTTCAATGAAGAAAATATAATTTCTTCTCAACGAGCGTTTTCTGTATTGCGCCGACTTCAGAGGGGAGAGAAATGGGAAAGGAGGTTGGTTTACCCATCCTCAGATAGTTTTAGGGCTGAGGGATGTGTCACGGCTTAATGTTGTTTTTATTACCAACTATATTACCCAGACGTCAGCACAACCAATCCAAACTCGACAGAACCCGTAATCCTGGGAGGAAAGCGGTTTGCTTATCTACTATATGCGCTGAAATAGTTAGTGACATCGATGTTTTGGAGTCCTCGTGTCACTAGTGATTCATTTACCCACCTCCACGTAATGCTGCAAAATTAACCAAAGTACCCGGCACGATAAGGACAAGTTCTTCATGATACCA